ACATGAAAATGGCGATCAGGTTTGACTGAAGGCGAGAGTAAGACTAAAGCGATATATAGACAAAGAAAGCGTTAAATAAGCGAATGAAATGAGTGAAGTGAGTGGTCGGCAGTGTCGCCCTCTCACATTAATATATAGATTTCATTAAAAATTAATTTTATTAATTTATTAATGATTAAAAAGTTGTCATTTTTACCAACACTTAATGCAATTATGTTTACCTTTTGTTTAACTCTCTCTTCTCCTCTCTCTTCTTCGGACTCCATATTTAATAAATTTAATTAATAATTACTTAATTAATTAAAATAATCATTAAATTGAATGCAAAACACTTTTGTTGAAGTTTGGGATCAATAGACATGTGTTCACACAATGTTTGTAATGTTTGATATAATGCTCGTAATGTATACGAGAGGGGAGTTGTATTAACTTTGAAAGTATTAACTTTGTGAACATGGACTGTAATATTATTATAAGTCAAAAACTGTTTCAGATGAGAGTTAATTAAATATAATAATAATGTTTGACATTTTTGCGAATTATTGCTCGATTTTAGCAATAATTCCTATTGTTTATTGGTAAGTTAAAATATATTAATTTAGTTCTCTAACATACACTACAAATTAATTAGCAATCGTAAATTTTACTTTAACTACACTAATGTAGGTATTTGACTAGGAACTTTAATTATTTTACAAAAGTTGGATTGACCGGACCTAGACCATTGCCAATAGTTGGTAATCTATGGGAGCGTTTGTTTATATCACTACCAGAATTGGGAACAAAATGGCAACAAAAATATGGAAACATTTATGGGTAAAAAAATATTTTTCAAATGTGTTTATGTTTTTAATTAAAAAACTATTTTTAATATAGAATATTTAGTGGAAACACACCGTTATTACAAGTGGCGGAACCGAAACTCATTAAGCAAATTCTTGTTAAAGATTTTCATTTATTTGTAGACCAAATGTCAATTTTCAAAAGCACTAAACACCCGATTGTGGGGAAAATGTTAACTGGACTTCAGGGCGAGGACTGGAAGAGAGTCCGATCCATAGCCAGCCCTGTATTCACTTCCGGCAAAATGAGAAAAATGTATCCAAAGGTCAAAAATTCTGTGGAGGGGTTTATGAATACATTGAATGAATATGTAAAAGAAAAACATGAGATCAATGCTAAGGATATGTACGGCTGTCTAACAATGGATGTGATCGCAAACTGCGCTTTCGCTACAAAAACCAATGCATTCAAAGACCCAAACAATGCATTTGTAGTGAATGGAAGAAATGTGTTTAAAGTTTCTGTTTTAAAGTTCATTTCAATGTTTATATTGCCTCAATTCGTGTTAAATATATTGAAATTTAAAACATTAATTAATGAAAAGTCAGTACATTTTTTCTCGTCAATTTTACGACAAATATTGAAGGTTAGGGAAAAATCAGAGACAAAATCCAATGATTTGATTGATCTCATGATGAAAGCTAAAGCAGGTAAGGATTACATTAATATTGAGAGCGATGGACATGAATCGCATCACATAAATGAAGGTTTGTATTTACAAATATAATCGCTTAATATTGATAAAATCAGAATTTATATTAAATTTATTTATTTCTTATATTTTAGGCGAAGAAGAATTAGAAATTGAGAAAAAAATATTGAATATAAAGGCATCGAATAAATTCATAACAGAGGATGAGATGATTGCTCAGGCATTTATTGTACTCATAGCCGGATACGAGACTACAGCCACTGCTCTATCTTTTTGTTCCTATGAATTGGCACTCAATCCAGACGTTCAGCAAAAGCTATACGAAGAAGTGATATCTTCAATGGACACAAACGGAGAGATTGATTACGAAGTGTTGACAAAACTCCCGTTTTTGGATGCAGTCATCGCTGAGACTCTTAGACTCCATTCACCTATTATTAAAATAGGAAGAATTGCGGCCGAAGATTATCGCTTGGGAAACACAGGGATCACTGTTTTTGAGGGACAAGCAGTGGAAATACCAATCTATGCCATCCATCACTCGGAGGACTACTATCCAAATCCCGAAATGTTTATTCCCGACCGCTTTCTACCAGAAAATCGTCACAAAATAATTCCTTACACTTATCTGCCCTTCAGTTCCGGTCCTCGCAATTGCATTGGAATGAGGTTTGCATTAATGGAAGCGAAGTTAGGTTTGGCTCATATTATACGGAGGTTTCAGTTTACCCGAAGTCCACAAACAGATGTTCCCTTAATATTACGTAAAGTTTCTCTCCTCAACAGTGCTAAATCTGTAATAATTGGCATTAAAATTAGGGATTAAGTTGTTGCAATTCTGTATTGCTATATTGATATATTAAAACTTAATAAAATATTTTAAATATATACAGAGCTTTATAAAATGAGTTTATGGGCACTTTTCTAATTAATTTTTTCAGCAATTACTAATATTAATTAATAGATTTTTGCGTAGAATGATAGTCCAAACGTTAATGTATATTAAAAATTAGTTTAAACCATGGTTAATTTAATTTTTGATTAAATTTTGTAAATATTCTTTTTCGCCAACTTTCAAAACATTTAAACCCCATGTTATATGCCCATAGAGATGTGAAAACTGTTAATTTTAACATTTTCAAGATTTTAAAATAGCCCTAAATTTGTTATATATGATTGTAATAGATGTATTCTGGCTCAAATTCGTTAGATATTTAGTATATTACTAATTTATATGAAAATTCGTATTAAATGATACTTTGGCTCCATTATTATCTACATCTTTGGCCAGTTTGCCCGAAAAAGATCAAAAATGGTATACTTAAGGTTCGGGTCAATTGTTGGCCAACCAGTAATTGCATTTATATTAATAAATATATGAATCAAGAGTAGGTTATGTGATGGTCAAAATGATATATAGAAAGATTGTCTATCATACATATTTGCCGAGAAAATTAACTAGAAAAGTGCCCATATACTCATTTTATAAACCTCTGTACATTAACAATGATATATTTCAGATAAGAAATACCGTTATTGTTCAGCTACAATTAAAAATAATTTATAATTTGGTTGGAAATTTTTTCCAATTAATTAATTGTTACTTTTGTTTTAATAATTTACAACATTTCATAAACGGGAGTATGACATGAGCTCGAAAGTCAAAATCTCAAAAGACAAGCTCGAAATACATCAGCTGGAAAGTGATTAAATTAATTTAACTGTCCTTTCCATTTTAATTAAAATGTTATAAACATATTAGTTGTTGATAAATAACAATAAAATCTCAATTATTTTAAGCATAATTATTTGTGTTGTTTTATTATTTTAATATTTATTCAAATTATATTTTAAATCAAAGCTTTTATGATAATATAAATATTTATTGATAACTACAGGGTGGAGATTAATGGAATTTATGATATTCGACAATATATTTCAACGGCGTACGTATTTGCTATGTTATGATAATCCATAACTTATTGTAAATATAAATGACCTCATTAGGCATAATGTTAAATCCAAACAAATTTTTGAAAGAGTATTCCAAACCCTAGAAATCTTTTTGGGGTTATTTTATAAGAAATAATTAATGGATTTAAGAGAATAAAGAGACGGTTTAAGAATAGGCTTAGAGACTGTCGCCGATAACGGGATCAGAGGACACGTGGGTAAAGACGGCGCCACTTTCAACATCGGTCGCACCGGTCATCACACCGTTGAGGGAAACGTTGGGCCAAACGGCGCAACCATTGGAGCAGAGATTATGGGAAATGAGATCAAGAATCACATCGGTTTGGACGGCGCAGACGTTTCCGTCGGTCCTAAAGGCTCGCCATTTGATGCTCATATTGAACTCGACGGTATGTCCATTGGAAAGGGTGATCCTAAATTGTCCCTGCCTAATCTATTCAAACTATTTGGTTAAATGTTATTACAACCAAAGATAATAAAATTAAATTTTTATTATAATAAAGTTGCAATTATTGATATTATTGATAATTAACACATTGACTTTTAGGTGACAAAAACCAGTCTTAAAGTCACTATAAAAGTTATTAAAAATGACTAAAAATTTGCTAAAAAGGTGATAAAAAGTTATGAAAAAGTTAGTTATTTTGAATCAAAATAATCGATTCAAAGGTAAATAACATTCATTTTTGAATTCAATTGTATCACAAAGAATTTTGTGAGGTTTTTAGTTTCAAAAGTCATTCGTCTGTCATTTAACAACTGTTTATGAATCGGTAAACGTTTAATGACTAAAAACCATAGCCTGTTATGACTAAAAACTATGACTTAATAATTTTAATATTAAATTACACCTATTTTCAATTTTGACCCATTGAGTATTTTGTAATTTATCAATTAATGACGTATAAAATTTGAAAAATAGGCAAAAAGTTACTAAAAAGTTACTACAGGTGAGAACGTCCCAAAAGGTGCTAAAAAGGTGAAATAAAAATCTCACAAAATACTCCTAAGGGGGTATATGGTATGCCCCCAAACTTTCAGGAGGTTCTCCGCTTTCGGACCAAAAAGTTATTTAACTTCAAATCAATGCTTTATTGATAATAATAAGCTTTCATTAAATATAATAATAATAAAGATATATTAATTAAACACACATTAAAAACATTACAAAATTTAGAAAACATTAAAAATATAAATAAAAACATTTGTCTAAGGTCGGACTTAAATTAAAAATTTTTGATACTTTCTCTCTTTATATAATAAAACATTTAACTTAAAATCAAAGTAACATGATACATTGTACAATACAGTCTGTATATGAGAGAGAGAGAGAGAGAGAGAGAGAGAGAGAGAGAGAGTTTCATGTATATATACCATATCAAATTGCAATATTAAAATTTTAAACAATACAATTATATGATAATTAAAAATAATATTCTATAAAAACTTATTAGGCTAAAATTTAACTTAATTAACTAAATAAATTTAAATATTTCTTATACTACTAAGACATTTTATATGGCCATACGGCTGTGCCGTAACAATTAAGTCAAATGTAATATTTAGTAAAATTAAGTTTTTTATAATGATTGATATCTCTCGCATTTTGTTGACCAGTAATGATTGCCATCGCAAACACGAACTCCCTCTTTGACATAACGATCAAGGGCAGGTATATTAAACTGATTCAATTTTCGTCCATATTCAAGTACTAGTTTGTAGGCAACTTTGATTTCATTTACAATACGGTCAGCCGCCGTCTGAGCAGTACAACATTGCCACACCATAATTAGGTATAGGTAGGTTTGCCGACAGTCACCCGCACGTGCCTCTTTTTTAGCAGAGTAAAGCTCGTTAATTAGTGTACAATAATAACTGATGGCGTTATTAAATGTCATGTAAATAGCATTATCTCTTAAACCATAAACGTTTGGGTCAAACCTGACGCTTAACTCAGCCCATATTAATAACGTAATCACTGCTACATCTTTCTCCCTGTGTTAAATTATATTTGTTATTATTATGTAATGATTAATTTATTAATTAAATGTTATTATTCTAAATTAAACACATTTCATTATGTTCATGTATAGAAACAGTTATAGTAAATATTAAATAATCGTAATTTGATTTGTAATATTATCGTTTAAATAAGTTATAATAATAAAATTTAAAACTATAATTAAAAATTTATAATTAAAAAATGAAATGACCTCCACTGAAACCATTGGTCGTAAGTTAAAATGTTATCATTGCTTAAGAATTCGTTTCGCGTAATATAACAGTCAATATATTGTTCGTAATAGTCGTGGAATCGTTTAGCTTGATCATTGCTTAACGATTTATTTATATACCAGATCATTTTCATCAGTAATGCGTCCTGGGCAATGTTTTGAGGCCATATGCCTGCCTTATATTTGTTACGCCATTCGCTTAAAAATTAAAATGTTGTTTAATTGCAATTTATTTTATGTTTATATAAATATGGGCTTATATAAAATTATTTTGAATTAAGCATAATTCGTTACTGTATTCAATATATTATTACACGCGTTTTGCCTTATATTTTACATTTATTCAAAATATTACCTATATATTGAGTCGTTACGTATTTTGTCAAGGTAGTCGTCGAATATAAACCCGAATACCAGAAAATAATTAGCTGCCGAATAATGATCCCGATTAGTTGTGGTAAACATGTAGGATGTATAATTAGTTAAATTATGATGGTCAAACATTGGTTGTCCACACGATTCAGTCATATCCTTTTCAACAATTTGGCGGGCGTTTTGGTGCAAAGCACTAATGGCTATGCGTTTGACCGTAAGGTTTTGAATGTTAAATAATTGTATTCGTTTCAACTGTTTGTCATTGAGATGCTTTGCCCCATATTTCACAGTGCAATCATTATTTATATTATACATGGAGACGAAATCGGAAAAGCATAATACTTTTTGTTCGTTTGATGTAATGTTCGTATCCTTAAAATTATTATTATAATAAGTATTATTAACAAGATTTATTGAACAAAGCGATAAGTTAACCTAAATAAATTAACCTTTTTAATTTAGGAAAAAGCATCTAAATTTTCAATACGTGTTTTCCAAGTTGATGGATAACGCTATTACTATTACTAATGCTCATCCTATAAAACTGTCGATTTTACTAGGGCTAATGTTAATCATGTAGATATTTTTTTTAACTGTGTGTGGTGTCGAGGTTTAAGAGCAAATACAAAGGTTTATACCTGCAATGTGTTACGAAATGTATCTAACAATATTATGTATAGTGAATCTGAATGTCTTATGGATATTCCTCTGGAACTGCTAATAAGGAAGACGAGTTATTAAATAAATATACAAATAGACAAAATATCAAGTATACCTAAATTCTCAAAATACAAACAATAAAGATACAATATAAATTTATAATATCTCACACAGAATAACTTTATATCTATATTATGTGTATTTTTATTATTATCCATAGACTTACCACTACAAATAAAAATACCAGTAAAATATAAATTAAAATATGGTATTTGTGTAATAAAAATATTATTAATTTGTTAATTTTATTATAAAATTAACTTTATATTAACATACACACAATTTTTATAGACAAAACATAAATTTCCACTAACTATATAATACAATATGTGTAACGTATCCCACTACACCAACAAACATTATAATATAATATTATATTATAATGAATTTGATGTAATAATTGCATAATATGAGTGGCGCTGTCGTGGGTAAGCCATACAGTACGTTACTCAATCAAATTCAAAATGTTATTAATAAAAATGATTCAATCGTATAATTGAGTGACGTACTGTATGGCTTACCC